CCGCCTGGAACCCTGAAAACCCACACCCGACCTTCCACCTTCCTGCCACGACCCCGCCCGAGAACGCGCTGACTTCGGGAAGGACGAGACGCCCGTGAAGGGCCGCGTGCTCACACGCGATGTAGTGAGAGCGAGGTGGTCGCGAGAAGCTGCGTGCACGCGCGCAGAGTTGCGAGAGCGCGGAACTGCGTGTGCTTGCGCTTGCGCTTGCGAAAGGTAGCAGCGAAGGGCGCACGGGAAAGGAGTGAAGCGTGTGAAGCAGAATGCGCACGCGTGGATGGAGAACAGCGGGCGCAAGGTGGGAAAGACGGGCTCTCAACAACAGCGAGACGGCGAGCCCGCAGGCAAAACAGCGATATGATGAGGTCTCAGACAGAGAGCGGGAGAAGGTAGCGCACACACGTCCAGATGGAAATGGTGTATGTGCCGGCGAACGCAGACGGCGATGCACAAGACTACCGGTAGGTGGGAGTGACAAACGCGTTGGGAGTGGCACGGGCGGAGCAAAGAGGAAGTGCGCTGAAGGGAGGAGATGAGGATCGCGGGCGCGGCAGGAAGAGTTGATAAGCGCGCGAGTGGAGGAAGAGTTTATAAGCGCGCGAGCAAAGGAGAGCAAACCCAGCGCAAAGGAGCGGACGGGCGGTAGGAAGGAAACGACCGCGTACGGGTGGAAGAAGATGAACAATGCGGAAGAGGAACCGCGCGAGAATGGTGAAGGAGAAGAAGAAGAAGAAGAAGAAGAAGAAGAAGAAGAAGAAGAAGAAGGAGATGAAGAAGATGAAGTAGTAGTAGAGGAAGGAGGTGGTGTGAAGAAGAAGCCGGGGGGAAAGAGTAAGAGAAAGAGGGACTTATCTACCGAATGTGATTGGTTACCGTCACGGTCGCCGTCGCTGTCCGCCCTGGTTCGAGCCAAGTTTGTTCTACTGCGATGGTGGTTGAATGTGCCTATCGACCAGGATGAATCTTTCCATGTTGTAGCAGAAGATTCGTTCTGATTTCGCACATTTGGTGAGCAATGGAGAGATACCTCATGGGATCGCCGTCGTTGCCCTCCGAAGATCATCTTGGCGCCTGTTTTTGGAGATTCTATCATCGCTGCGGTCGTCCTCGTCAGCTTCGAGGTGGTTGAGTGGGAGCTCGCCTACACCACAAGCGGGACCCGGGTTGCTGGGCAGAGATGATCTCCGCCGCGTCACCGCCGATCCTCGAAGTTGAGCCGTTTCTGAGTTGACTTCGCCTATGTTCACAGGTCAGCAACTCTGAGAGCGGGGCCGTAGTACCCGCCAAAGAGCTGTCGAACCTGGCCCAGATTGTTGATTTGGTGCATTGAGGGAGTCTCAGAGCAGTGAGCAGAAGAGACAGGCAGGGACTGGCGACGACTGGGGGAGGAATCAGGCAGGGACTGGCGACGACTGGGGGAGGAATCGAAGAGCGCGAAGGTGAGTAAGCCACGAAGGGAGAACTAAGACAACGAGTACCATAGGGGGGTGCGTGACAAAGGCTTTCGATCAAGAAGGAGACAGCGAAGGTCGGAAACCGTTTCCTTCACTGCTCAAAGGGTGAAGAGCTTCGTCCTCTATACGACCATCATCGACAATGTTGGGGGTATGGCCGTCTTCTTCTTCGAATACAGAACTGATCTTCGTCGCTGCCGCCGTGCCATTGATCTCCGCTACACCGCGCGGTTGTTGGTTGCAAGATCGATTTCTCACCCGGCCTCGATCACGGCCGGATACGTTGCATGATCTGTGAGAGACCTAACTGAGACTGTGCTTGTGTGCATGAAAGAGAGAGAAGGACAGGAGTCACGTGCGTGGTAGGAAGGAGACAGCATGAGGAGATAAGAGATGACAATCGTGGGCTGGGCTAAGGGGCCCCGTCGTGGTGCCGACGTTGTCCATTAATGGGACCGTCTGATAACTGGTTCCTCTCTTAAACTTTCAGCACGATGGCCATGCTCGTACCCTCTCTTCAAGGCGGTCGTGATCGTTTTAGTCATCTTGTTGTCTCTTGCTATATGGATTCACTTGCCTTCTTTATCGAATTTAGTCCCGATGAGAACCGGATACGTCAGTCGAACAGTGGCTCAGACGGGGAAGATGGCTGCGGGGAGGAAAGATTTGCCTGCTTACTCCGCGGCGGCCATCCCCGCTACCGTGCGACCTTCCCTTGACTTAGGCACACGCCCAAACAGCTGTAATGGACCGAAACGATGGCTTGTATGCATTTTCTGTTTATTTATTGTCGTTGGTTCGTCATACTGTTATTGCTTTATTTATTCATTTTCAGTTTACGATTATGTACGCTCCTATTTCTAAGACGCACTCGGGCGGAATCGTGGCCCCGTGCGTCCACTTCTGATTGCGACCAGCGAGAGGCGGTCTGACCAAGCCCGTGTGGTCGCTTACGGCCAGTGGGACACAATGGATGATGGGAATGAGAGGCGACGGTTAGGGGAGTAGCAGGAAGAAGAAGAACGAGAAGAACGAAGAAGTAGAAGAAGGAAGTAAGACGAACCAGAGAAAAGAGAAGGGAGAGGAGATACGAGAGCCTGTCTCTTATACACATCTAGATGTGTATAAGAGACAGGGTCTGACCAAGCCCGTGTGGTCGCTTACGGCCAGTGGGACACAATGGATGATGGGAATGAGAGGCGACGGTTAGGGGAGTAGCAGGAAGAAGAAGAACGAGAAGAACGAAGAAGTAGAAGAAGGAAGTAAGACGAACCAGAGAAAAGAGAAGGGAGAGGAGATACGAGAGCAGAGGGAGAGAGTGAGCAGAAATGGGGTCTACTTGCCATTCGACCGGTTGGAGGTCGCATCCCCTTCTCCTCTCGCTGGTATTCGCTGCCTCTCCTGTCCTGTATCATTTTCACTAGTTTGCTTTAAAGTCATCTATTGGTTACTTGGATGTCACCTTTTGCTTCTCAATGTTCGTTAGTTGTGGAGGAATCTAAGGGCGAAAATGAGGACAGGTGGATTTAGGCTCCGGCTGCGATTGCAGTTGGATAGTCACACGCCTACTTGGAGATCTCAGCAGGAGGGGATCTCAGCAAGTCGTTCAATCCAGCAGTAGAACTCACACAACACAGTGCCGCATAGGAAAAGGTAGCAGGACATGGTGCTGCAGAGTGCCTCTGAGAAGTACGGCACAGATGACAGGCAACCACGTGAAAAGGGGCTAAGGGAGAGATCCCTTATACATAAGGGAACTCGCTGTGCATGGTGTAAAGGCGAGTCCTGTTCTAATTGAGTTGATTGACATGTACTGTTTTCAGTACATACACCTTGTTTGTACATTAGTGTGTGAGCATTCATCTGGTTTTCCGTATTTTATTTTACTTTGTTTGCTTCCTGTATTCGGACTGGAAACGCAGCTAGACTCAGTATGGGTGTTGAATCCGGCTGCGGTCTCAGTCAGGTGCACCCTGTGTTCAGCCTGATGAGAGAGCTTGGTGGAGACTTCCCTTTGAGAGCACAGGTTAGGTGCCGGGAATTGATATGAGAACGGTGATGCGTATGTGACAGGTGATATGTCACAGCAGAAAACTGTGAAGTTGGTTGTTGTCATTCGGTTATGCTGCTTATAGCTATTGCTGATTGTGATCATCTTTGGTAGCCAGTACTATCACATGAGCTCCTACCAGCGATTATGAGCTACCAGTTGCCTCTATTAGTTGCAGTCATACATTGTTGAAACCTCCTACTTTTGCTGTCACAGTGCTGGTGTGTGTCATTCTTGAGAATACAGTATTGCGAGGAATAAGCCCTCTGGGGGCCCTTACAGACATGCAAGTGTTCTGGGCTGTGGCACCCCCAGCAGGCATTGTGCCCCGCCGTAAGTGAAGGTGGGCCTGAATATCCACGTGAGGCCTCCTTACGACATTTTTCCATATGTGGGGTATCAGACAGTTGCAGCACGCCAGTTGGTTACAAAGCAACATGAGCCTTTGTTGGCTCCCTCCAGAAGCAACAGCTACGCTGCACGGTTGAGCCCAGACTAGAGAACAGAAGGGCAGACAAGGCTGCATTAGAAGGGTTAGATGAATCGACTCTTGGCGACACGAGCATGTATGCGTACATGGACAGCAAACTGGATGACATCCAGGATACCCTTGACCAGATACTGAATGTCGTGCAGGGAAGAGGAGGACCACATCCCTCCATACCTGGCGGTCCCGGTGTCCGGCCTCAGGCAACATCTCGATCGCCAGTCCCTTCACCGGCGGTGACGGGCCCCTTTGTTCCTCTATATGGTGTCCGACCAGGTGGTACGTCAGCAGCAGCAGCACAGACCGTTGCTTCTTCATCCTCAGATCCAACTGCTGCAGCTGCAGGGCAGCAGCCGGTCCAGCAACTGGCTCAGCAAGCCGGACAGTCTGGACCACAACAACCTTGGTACCCGAAGACCCCAATGAAACCCCCGACTGTCTTCACAGGAGACAAGAAGGATGAGGCCCTCAACACTTGGTTGAGGACGGTTCCTTTGTGGGTGAGGGCCAAGTGTGCTCTGCGAGAGGGAAGAGGTGATCACTGCCGGATCTTACTTAGAAGGATTGGCAGCGAGATGGCTGAATAGGTACATAGCGACAAAGGGATTCGCCAAAGGAATGAACAACTGGGCGCAGACCCAGACCCTTGAAAGCTTTATGGACTCGGTGGAGGCACGGTGGCACAACCCTCCTCAGTGAGCCCCATATGCCCCTGGCAGCACCCCCGTCTCACCCTCAACCGTCCCACCCTCTTCGACTTTCCAGATCCTTCCTTCTTCTCTCCTCCTCATCTACCACCCTTCCCTACCCTATGAAACACCCGCGGACGCATCCGCGGGTCCGATCTCGGATGGCGGATGCAGATGGGGCCGCGTCCGCGGTCGACCTGGTCCGCGCTGCGGACCCGATTTTACCAGAATTTTCCTGAATTAAATAATAGGTTAAAAATATATATAGTGGTCGGGGCCGTCACTACGCGGCCATGCTGTGCCTCTAGTGCCAGCGGCGTGTCTAGAGTGTATTTTTTGGCTGTGACAGACCTTTCTTTGTTTCGCGGGTGTTTTGCTGGCTTGTGATGGGGTGTGAACCGACAGTCTGTAGAGTTTTCCATCTGGTGTGGGTGAGTGATAGTCT